ACTGGAGTGGTGCTTAACAGTCTAACAGTTCCTGCATTTCCTGATTGATTTTGCTGGTGCCTTAACTGTAGCAGCTTCAGGACCGCTCGATACCCTTGGGCCAAGGGTTGAAAATGTACATGGTCACTGCTAAGATGTTGTTCATACAGTGTCTCCAGTGTGTTCATGCCAATAAGTACATTAGATGGCCTATCAGGACTAATATCTGGGACCACAAGAGCGAGAGTTGGTACCTCTGCATTTACTCCTATGAAGTCTTCAGGGAATGTGATGACCAGCTCCATGTACCCCAGATACGGAACAGACTGTCCAGCAGCACCTTCAACATGTACTGTAACAAATAATCCAGAGGCATTACAGGTTGGTTGCTTAGATTATCATTACAGAAAGAAACTGGAATAGTTGTCACCTGTGAACTAGTGTCTAAAAGGCAGTTACACACATGACCAGAAATGTCAACAACAGCAGCACACTTTGATCCAATCAAGCCTTTGGGTAGCTGAGTGGGTAGTTTTTTAGCTTGGGCTTGCAGTTTTGCACATTTAACAGTCTTTTCTTTAATAAGGGGACTGGTTTGGCTGGGACTGGTTCTGGTTTGTCCCGCAACAGGAAACATGCCTAGTTTAACTTCTTCTGAAAGATGTTCTGCTGTCGCTGAGCAAACTGTTTTCTTTTTCTTGCAACAAGAGCAGGGTTTGGTTCATTATTACATTGTGGCTTAATATGACCATTTTCACCACACCTGAAACAATAACCAGGTTTAACATGAACTGGTGGGGACTGTTGAGATGTCACTGTATTACCCTTTTACACCCTGCTTACTGTATGTTACCTTRGGTTGGGATGTAGTCCTGGGCTGGGTGGTGGTGGATGTTAGCTTAGCCAGCTGCCTCTGTACATCTGCCAGTTGTTCTGCTAGCTGCTGAGTCAATTTGGTTAAAGCAGCAACTGCTCCACCATCACCTGTGTCAACACAAGCTAATTGTGCATGACTGACTACTTTTTGTTTGGTGGACCCCAGATGTTGTCTCATCCGGGAAGTTTTAGCTGCCTCCCTGTCCTCTTCAGTACGTAGAAGTAGTAACAGCTCAGAGAAACTAGGTGGGACCAATTTCTTTTGTTTTAATTGGCATTAAGCAATCAAAGTATTGTCCCAACAACCCCTACAGAACTGGCTTATGAGATGCCGGTTTACATCCTTGGCTAACACACCACCTCGTTTCAGGGCTAAGTTTAATGCTACCTATAGCCGCTGGAGATATGAAGATGGCTTCTCCCCTGCATCTTGGAAAGTGTCCATGAATTTTGCGAAGAGCTCTTCTCCATCTTGGACTGTGCCATATGCTGAATCCAATATGTTCAGATATTGAACATGGTGGAGTATCTGAACTTAAATGCTTCAGCATATCAGCGGCTGGGGGAAGTAAACGCTCCACGATCCTCCTTGACCGCTGAAGCTCAGAAACTGATGGGTCTTTTAATAGCAGATCTACTCCTGAATGCCAGGTCTCGTAGTCTGCTTCATGTGCTGGTCTAGGCAGCCGTCCAGAAAACACTCGGAGCCTTTGTAGATGGTAAGCACTTTCCTCAGTTTTCATAATGTGTTCCACTACGTAGCGCTGGACTTCAGGTGGTTGGATGTCATCATCATGAAGAGAAGGTCTCGGTCRTGAGGTAGGTTGCTGCTCACCTCTCAGTCTGGGAACTGTAGGATCAGTGGCCGTTGACAACGTTGGTTCTTTGTTCATGGTTGGGTCTGCAGATGCTGCCATAGCCTCAGACTTTTCATCAGGATCCTCCATCTTGTCAGCTGAGTGAAGTTCAGCAACTGATTGTCCAATCTGAGTCATCRTAGATTTTAACACCTCTGCAAAATCCATGCCAGACAGCTTTGCAAGTTTCTGTAACTCAAATAAATAAGAATGAGTTTTGCTCTGTGCAACATGTTCTGCATATACAACAGCTAATTCAAAGATGGAAAATGTGTCTGACTTTTCAGATGATTTAAATGAATATAAGAAACATTTTTTAC